AATAGTGTATTTCATCTTTTAATCATTTTAATATATATTGTTAATATATATTATATATTAATATATATTATATTATATATTATATATTATTAATATATAATTTAGAAATATTCTGCATAAATGCATAAAATCAGCAGTCTAGTAATCACTAAGCCTCAGCTAGACTACATACATACATACGATACAACATTCAAACAGCCTGTCATAATAATTAAAATATCTTTACTTAGAACAGCTAATGAGCTGTTCTTTTTTAGCTATAATGATAGTTAAAACATGAGATATTGGATAATGAGATAATGGATCACTGGAAACAATACTACCAACATCCTTTTGTAGCTCGACGCGTATAGTTTGATTACATTGATACAATTCGTAGATTTTTTTGTCTATAAAACATTATCCGAGTCGCCAAATTAATATAAAATAATTAAATATTATTTACTTCATTTGAAAATATGCACCCTGTAATAATAATATGTATATTCACGATCAATCAGGAAGATACATTACACATAAGTTTCAAAACACAATATTCATATATAAAATGAAACATGAAATGAATTTTCAGATATTCCATTTGTTGTTCCAGACCTTCCTCGGTAACTTGCAATAAATATTAGAAGCTTTTACGATGGTCACAAAAATCACTTTTGCACAACTGATGATAAGTACCGTAGATCAGCGGTTCGTAACACTGTGCGTTGGCGGTTAGATTTAGTTCCGTAGCTCGAGACAGAATGATACCTTTCTGTTCCATGTGTCGATATTCACGTACGCTTTGCACGCGCTTTATCTGTTCCAATGAGAGCACAATACAAAAACAAAAAACTAAACGCACCCTCAAGAGAGCGAGAGACTTTCGCAGGTACGAATAACGATCGTTGTTGCATCCCCCTCTCTTCCACCCCGACCCGCTCTTCTAGCATCGGGACACGCAGGAAACGCTGACAGTCCTCGACAGGTTGGACCTTGATACCGAGAAGCCAACCGATGAGGAGCTGGCGAGGAAGTTCGGCTTCGAGGAAGCGTACAACGCGGGCACGCTCACCTGGTGGCAGAAGCTCAAGCCCCAAATGTGGTCGCTGTTCGACGAACCCTATTCCTCATTGGCAGCCAAGGTTTGTAACAACACCATTCAATTATTTAGAGTAACTTAAGTTCTGTGACGATTGTGTTTGGTATATATGCTGTTTAACGGAGCTACTTTTGTTTTGGACTATAAACTTTTCTCTGTATATGTAATAGGTGTTCTCTTTTAGTTCTTGAGATGTTCGCCAAAACTGTTGAACAGACAGAGATTCGATCAAATTAGGAATTGGTTAAGCTTTACTTTAGGCTCTTTCATGTATATTCCTGTAGATTTTGTCGAGAAAAATCGAAAAATTTAAGTCCCAAGATGCGCAAATCGTAATCATTAAAGTAAACATTAGTCCAATAAAATATGGAGAATTCGAATTATAATACCAACATGACTTATGCTGTCATCTAGCGGCTGTTGTAAGGAATTTCTTTGATATTTGTGCTGTCATCTAGCGGCACCACTCATGAAACTACGTCCCGAGACGGAGTACGTACCAATGAGACGTCACGCAACATGTCAAAGACGCTTGAAATTCGTCAACTTTGAACGCGCATAACTTTTGAACCAATGGTTTGCGCACCTTGGGACTTGAATTTTTGGAGTTTTTTCGACAAAATCTACGAGAATATGCATGAAAGAGACAAAAATCTCTGGACCCGCAAAGTAAAGTTTAACCGTGTACAATAAAAAGAATTCATTACATTATTGCAGTGTTATTCAGTTAGCTATAAATTAGGCCCGTGATAAGTTTAAAACAAAAATTGTTAGTATTTTGTCTGTAAAATCTACCATGTTAGAAGAAGAGGCGGAGCAACTTCATCCCTACTCCTGCGATCTTAAAAGTTTACTTCTGTTATAGTCCGTCAGGTGTTCTGGTGAAACTTTCGCATTATCGACGGGTGTTTTTATGGTGTATACGGTACTCAGTACCGTAATAGTATCACACTTATACAAATATAATTTACAAAATAATGCATCGGTGAGCACCGATAGAAATATTAGTATCTCTCGCAGGAACTCATGGAAGTAAACTTGTTTCGTAAAAGCTTTGTGGTGGGGTAACCGTAGTCGGTCCATCTCTCCTTCTTACACCGTGATAAAACGCAAGGAAATTCCAAGTATTTGTGTTTTACTTGGAGCCATTGTGTCTATAATCCAAATCTTTAACCATTAATCATTTTCATATCGAATTCCATGTTAACCTACACGCCGCCATGGATGCGTAAGTGTATGCAAGATTTATTGTATTATAGTAGTAGCAACAGTTAATTGTTACCTAATATCTCTAAAAACTAATATAGGATGCCTATTGTATCTACGATCGAGGTTATTCAAAATGGTATTTGACGAAATATTATAAAATTATTAAAATTGGTAGTGGTTCATTGAATCTTAGAACTCACGGTAAAGAGGGAGAGGGGGGGGGTCATCGAGCCCACAAGTTTCTTAATGATAAATTAAATCGATTTTCTATGTTTTATACATTAAAACCAAGAAGCTTTCGAAATATTTCTGAAGGTATATATAAGAACAAATAATTTCTTACAGGAAGGTAATCTGATTAATTTATCATTGTTGCTCTTTAATATTGGGCTTAATCAGCCTTCGTCTCTTGGAAATACTAGAGTTAAACTGCATATTTACCATGACACTTTCACAATTACTTACCATATTAATATTAATCTATATATTATACCAAATTCCATTTAAGCAGAGTAATTATTTCCATTGCTCTATCATTTTGTATTTCATTCAAAGAGTTGCTTACCACTTTACGAATAAATGCAAAGGGTTATTTCGGGGGATGAGCTTTTATGTTATCCCTTTGCAGTAGAAGAGTTTTCCCTAATCACCTATAAGCAATTCCAACACATTTGTTTACTAAGTAGCACATTGAATAACATATAAAATGATAAAACATTGGAAACAATGACTTTATTTAAATGTGATATAATAATTACCAACACTTGTATCATGTCCCTTCAAAAGAGTCAGACAAGTTGCTGGCTAGATTTGCAACGTCCCTTCAGGGGTGACAGTCAAGTACAAATGGATAGGTTAGGGCAATTCAGTGTTTTATACTGAATGAGCAAGACTGCAAAAATCGTGGCTGGTATATGAATAATTTTCCCACGGATGTGCTTAGTCGCTTAAAACAAACTGAAGTTTGAATATCTCCCTGTTGAAAAACGAAACGATATTCAGTTATAACTTAAAATAGGTAAAACAGTTTTTTTTATTCTTATTTCACCTTGTGAAATGAATAGCACTTGAAAAATTGAAGATACAAAATTTACTTGAAAATGATACAAATTGAAATGTCTCCGAGGACATTGAATAACTGTTTTCGTAAATCGATGTACCATAGAATTGAATATTCAAGCTTCTCTTTTCCGGAGAACTGTCACCATTTGGTGTACAATGTTTCGTAGTCGGCTAATGGATAAAAAACGAGGAACAATTTCGGCTGTATAAAGCCCTCGTATACCTTATATCCAGGGTGCTCACACAAAATTCCACTGTAGCTATAATATGGGAAATTACGCGGTGAAGGTGAAAGTATCGGGTGTTCTTTATTATACATATAGTGACGCTAGGTTAGCTTGGGAACGCTTAGGTGACAACGCACGATGGGGCACTTACCCCGGAAACACATGGAATTTATAAATATGGATTTTATAAAAGTGATCCCATAATGACAAATTTGTTCACTCATAGTTAATTGAACATGTAGGTTACGATTTACTATGATTTTTTGTACTATTTGTTCAATTTGGACGTGACTACACAGCTTCGAAGTGACCTACCACCAAATCATCCGAAACTGTTCTTATTATTTGTAATTGTTTTATTTAGTTTAATTGAGTTTAATTACTATGTACTTAAATTATGTCAGAGCACACATTTCTATTACCCACAGTTTTTGAGTTACATGTAATTAAATATGTCCAACTTTTTTATTTCAGTTTGTAATTACGAATGTGCCGCGAGGTGCAGTGTTCGTTTTGGTCACATTTTAAAGGATAAGGTCTTACCTCTCTTTTTAAAAAAGTTGGCTGCTACTAGAAGCTGTTGAAGTAGTTAGAGGGATTGTTGTATTTATTGACGCCCCCGTAGCCGTGCAAAAGCTTCATTCGAAATTACCAATTTTGTATAACTTTTAAATAATTTGCTATTCATTAGTTGCTAATTCATTGCTGTTCATGAGTTGTTAATTGGTCTAACATTTGGATGTTTAATATATGTATGTATTTTATAATTATATTTTCGTTTATAAATGTTGTGAAAAAATAGATTCTGGAACGCATACAATGTTCATAAGTACACACATATAATGTCTTATCGTAAGAAATGGACATTGATATATATGATTTCAATCAGAATATGTTTTTTACCATGTTTTTGGGTGGCGTCACTGAGCGACGCTTGGCTTGGTTTCATTCGTGCATTCGTTATTTCCACCACCACCACATAATTTCCCCCACTATACCTAAGGCGGAATTTTGTGCGAGCACCATGCTTGAGTACTCTAAAGTAGGATGTACACCAGGGGTGCCAAACTCAAAAGCTAACTTGGGATAAATAAACAATGCTTAACTTTAGGTGGGCCGAAAAAAATCAATGTTCATAGAAACAAATATTTTTATTTTGACTAGTACATTGTAATAAACATATATAAAGTTAAATTATTGTTTACGTCCTGATACTTGACATCAAAAATGTTCATCTCGGGCCTTTCCTTCAAAATACAAGAAAGACACTGAAAAAATCGTACACCAAAGTTTAAGGTATCACTCCATTTTAGGATCAGTCACAAAAAAATATGCCATTGTTTTTAGAGACTTTTCGATCTGTAACATTTTAAAGGAAGAGCATGTCTCCATAATTATGCAAAAACATGTTATAAGGTAATGAACAATGACTAACAAAGGTAAAAACTTCAAGTTTTAAAATAAGATTAACTTTAGTGTCGTACGACTCTCTTTTACAAAATTATTGTTGCGTGGATCAAATAAAACACATGCACCCTGATTATAATAATAATATAATAATGTTCATGTTTATTAATGCATTACAATACAGTATCTTTAGAAACGCACGTTACAGTATCTTCAAAGATCATCCTAGATCAATTCTCTCTAGGAGCAGCAAACTCTCACACCATCTTGCGAAATCCAATTTTAAATCAGTACAACGTTTGTTGATTTCAATTCTCGGTAAAAGGTCTCTTATTTCGTTCTATCGCTTGCTTAACAAAATATTTTCTATTTATGTGTTTCGTGGGGTTTGTTACTTTCTCTTTTGACATCCAATCCATTGCTATTTTACTATCAGTTCGTGAAAGAATTTGACCTTTTCCTGAAACATTAACACATCGTAAGCGGGTACATTCTCGCCAAATTCTTACCATATAACGGTAGTTAGGTATTTGGCAAGAAAATTCAATAACTTTTTAATAATAAAAAATTTGTAAAAACAGAATCGGCAAGAAGAAGTACAACATCTAGCAATGAATGATGCGTAATAATTACTCCCCCTAGTCCGTAGAAAACGAGTTTTGTCGGCTCCCGCGCTTTGATAATAATAAGCACGAAACGTGTTTAGGCGTTTCCCGCTTAAAATGTGTTAATACCTAGATTATCGTTGAAGCCACATATCCATTCCAGCGTTTGAACCCCATCATACATAATCATTGACTCCGTTTCACAAGTTGAGAGCCGGGTTGCTAGGTCTACCCTTAAACGTCACGTATACTCATCCGTGACATCACGATGAGCGGTTCAGCAGATTAGGGATAGAGGATAGTGTAGTCGATCGACGTGACGTGACCAGTCACAAACGTGAGAGGATCTCTGACAACCCTGCTGCCCTCTATCCCTACTCTGATCAACTGTTCATCCGTGACGTCACGAATGAGCGTGACATTTGGGAGACTTTCTTACAACCCTTGGTAAACCATACTTTGTTTCCACATAATGCTGTTGCTATTCAATCTTACGACATATTCACTATACGACCTCGCATCGGCCGTACTAT